GGAAGCCTGGTTTCCATAGAAACAGATGGACTGCGGAGCTGTCCCCAGCATGGAGACTGTGCCCATGAGGGCTGGCTTAGGAAACCTGACTGGCCGGGGGAGGGGGAGAGATGATGAGGGGAAGAGGAAGGGGCCTAGAACATCCACCAGTGGTCAAGCCTCCCCGGGAGTCAACGGGGAGCCACTGCTGGCTCGTACCCCAGCCAAAGAGCCACTGCCTTTCCAAACAAGAGCCTCTGTTACCGGGGCAGGCAGCACACCTGTTCCTCCACACCTCATGAGGAAGACTGCCCGCAGGGCCACCTACGCCAGGGCTGGAAGGAGGGAGGCGCATACTTCAAGACCAGGAATCCCCTGCCATCCCCACCAAAGCCCTGTGAGAATGGCCATATTATCACCCCCATATTACAGATAAGAAAACAAAGGCTCAGGTGACTTATTTGAGTGTCCCCTGGGGTAAGTAGCAGAGGTGGCCTTCAAGCCAAGGTAACTGTGCTTTCACTGGACATCCTGGGAGGAGCTGGTGTGTGCGTGCAATGTGTGCAGTGGTGGGGGTCGGGGGGCGTTTGATGGACTTGACCCATGTAAAGAGCTGAGCTCTAAGCCACCTTCTCCATGGCAACTCCCCCGGAAAGTCCCTGGTGGCCGTCAGCATCTGGACTCCTCTGGGGTCCAGCCTCCCTTGGGTTAAGGCCCTGCAACTCCAGCAGGACTTGGGAAGGGCTGCAGGGAGACCCATTGTTCTGTTAACGAATAGCTGGAAATGGGTTCTGGGACAGGGCAACGCAGAGTTGGGGGCAGGGTGCTGGCAGTGACAGCCAGAGCCTCAGGGCCTGGCCAGAGAGAAGGCGAGGCAGGAGAAAGTCTCTGCTCCCTGAGGGGCGGGACAGAACAGACGATCCAGAGCCTGCGTCATCGCTCTGGCTTCGGTCCCTCCAATGCCTGCCATTGGCCCCTTATGCAAAATGGGGTCTAGAGACGCCCTAGCCAGGAATCCATCGCCTGGGCCCTCAGGCAGTGAATCCACTTGTCAAGGGCTGTACTGGAGGGGCTTGGGGACTAAGGGACCTGTGTTCAGATCTTGGCTCGGCACTACTAGCCTTGTGCCTTTGGGCAGACAAACCCCTCTTCGAAGGAGCCCCCCTTCCTTCCACTGTAAATAGGGTGGTGGTCCCTGAGTCACGAGGCTGTTGGGAGCCTGAGAGCTCATCTAGAAGTCACGGGACACAAAGGAGGCTTTATGAAAGCGGTCGCACTGCGGACATCCTCACAGGGGCCTCGGGGGTGCAGGTTTCATCAGGGGTGTTCTAAGGAGGAAGGCGAGGTGAGGCTGCCCGGTGGCTGGGCCTTGGCTGGCCCCAGCTGGCTTGCTGTCAGGCCATCCCTCGAGAGCATCACTATGCTAGAGGCTGGGGCTGCCTTAGTCAGTGTTGTCTCTCAAGCAGATCCTGAGCCAGGGGAGGGCGGCGCTGCATCATCCGTCTCCCTCATCATCTCAGCATCACCGCTGCGCTCATGTCCAGGCTGCTGCAAAGAGTAAGGACAGAGCGGAACCGGCCCGGAGAGACGGGTGCAGGATGGGAATCTCGTGGCAGCGGCAACCCCGTCTCCATGACACAGCTCTGCAGCTGACAGAAAGGTTCCACGCCCCATTTCCAAGAACCTCCAGGAATAGGAGCCCTGGGATCTGGCAGTAAGCCGGTTTGCCCTGGAGCTGGAAGGTGGCGGTGTGTCCTGAGTCGCTGGGCTCGGAGACAGGGCAGCTGAGGTCACAGGCAGATTCTGCCATCACTGGTACACCGGGGCCTGTCTTTGGGGCTCAGTTTCTTTGTCTAAAGAAACGAGTGTGCTCTCTAGAGCCCCTCCCAGCTCTGCCTCACAGCGACCACACTCCAGCTCCCTGCTGGGCGCCAGCTCAAGCTCTCCCACCCCCCAAGTCCTGCCACCCTCAGCCTGGACCGGCACACGGGTCCTATCTTCCTACTCGTTTTTTTTTTAACGGTTCCAATTTCCAGAAAGGCAGAAGAAAGCCCTAACTTTCATCAGAAACATTTCCAAAGCTTTAGGGACAAATATGAACATTCCTACTTTGTCAAAGAGGGCGAGAGGTGAGGGCGGAGCAGGTAGCAAGGAGACATCCCTGGGGTCCTCCCCCAGGGCTCTGAAAGTGCTGGTGTGGGCAAGGGGGTCAGGCCCTCTGATAGCCTCTATCACCGCTCAGAAGTCACTGGGAGGGGTCTTCCTGTCCCGATGGTCATTCACGCAGCAAACCACAGAGAATTCCTGTCCTTTGCAACCCAAAGAATAGGCCAGCCTGCCCCTTGGCCCAGTGACCATGTCAGGGCCCTTAAGGGCAGCCAGTGTCGTCATCAGGACAGCCTGGCTTCCAGATCCTATGGGGCTAGGGGTCTGGTGAGAATCCGGCAGGCACCGCCCTCTCCTCCCCGCCCACCACTCCCCTCGTGCCCCTCCCCCACCCCGTGGCTGCTCAGGAACTTGGAGGGGAGGAGAGGAAGGTGGGAGACGAAAGGAGAGGAGCTTCCTCCAAGGGTTGTTCCACCATTTTGAGCCCATTTCATCAAAAGCAAGTGGTGATTTGTCTGCTGGGTGGGTTGGGGGAGGCAGGTGGAAGGGTCCCTGTCCTTTCCCAGGATAGGATGGGCCGCCACCAGAGTCCAGGACTGAGTGTCTCCCCAGTGCTGGGGCACTGGCTTAGTGCTTAAAGGACTCGCTCATGACTGAAAAGGCCTGTGCTTCATCCTGGCTCTGCCACTTATGAGGTGCATGCCCCTCTGCCAGTGACTCCACCTCCCTGAGCCTCAGTTTCCTCATCTGTTAAATGGGTGTAATAATGACACCAACCTCTCACCGGTGAGAAGATGCTCAAACAACATCCAGCACAGTGCCTGTTTTGTAGTTCATGGTCAATAATAATGCTGCTTGTTATTTGTAGACTAGAAGACTCCACTTCCTTGCCTCAGTTTCCCCCTTGACCAAATCTGCTTCAGAGCAGGTTCCCTTCTAGGGATCATGAGCTGGGTCAGAGTGGGGTGCTCAGAAAGGAGTGGTCATAGGAAGGAAGTGAGGTGAGAGAGAGCAAGGGTCACTTTGGGGCGGGAAGACGATGCTTTGCTGGTCCTGGGAGGGGCCCAGCCGGTGTGCCAGGATGAACAGTGAGACACTGGGTGCAGGGGAGGTATTGTGAGCCAGGAATCAGAACATCAGGCACCCCACCCTGCAGTTGCCACTCCCAGCCTGTGTGTCCTGGGGTGACGGATACACTGTCTCTGGGCCTCAGTTGTCTCACCTGTGAAATGGGAGGAACTCATCCCTTCTCTGTCAGCCCTGCCTCCTGTCTCTTCCTCAGCCTGTCACTCCTCCCAGCTGCAGGGCAGGCACATTCCAGCCTCAGGGCCTTTGCACCAGCTGTCCTCTAGCTGTCTACACGTTCATTCCCTCAAAGCTTTAGTTCTAAAGTTATCTTCTCAAGGGGGCCTCCCTGACACCCTATTTTAAATGACAGTCTGGTCCCTGGCCTCAATATCCCCAACACAACTTTTCCCCTTCAGCTCTCAGTATGCTATATAATTTGCTTCTTGATTTTATTAGCTATTTCCCGCCCCACCCCCCACCCACCTCTGCTTTTAAGTGTCAGCTCCATGAGGACAAGAATCTCTGTTTTGTGCACAGCTGTCTCCCAGGGCCTGAAACCGTCCCTAGTACTTCGCTCCATAAGCCATTTTGTGTGTAATGCTCACAAACACTTTGTTCAAGAAGCAAAAGTAGAGGACAGCCCAAAACAGTGTGACAGTGGGGCGCTCGTGTTCATTCCAGCCCCCTCCTCCCACACGCCTCAAGAGGGGCAGGCCCTTCTTCCCACAGAGGTGGGGCTATCAAAAGAACTTGGGGGGCTGGGTATGAACTGGAGAAACCACAGGGGGCCTGGAGGCAGAGCTGTGCAGAAAATAGGTGGGAGTCCTGGAACCGGCAGGTGATGACAGCTGGACATGGGTGAAGGGGCTTTGAGCCTCAGCCCCTCACTGCAAATTTGGAATCGGGGAGGAAGCTGACAACATGTGACTGGCAAAGAAGCGGTCAGGGCAGGGGGCTACCAGGAAGGTGGGGACAGAGGGGGCCTCAGGAACGAGACGACCCATATTACAGATGGGACAACATATACCTGGAGAATAGTCTTATATCTTAACAGCCCAAGAAAAATCTTTTCTCTCCTTTACGCCTGGGACTGAGGCTAAGGGGTGGACAGTGCCCCCTCCTGGTTCTGCAACAAAACGACCCCCGCGTCCCTGGGATCTGCGGGCTGCAGGTCCTGGTCCCCTCTCCACAGGCCGCCAAGGGTGGAGGTCCAAGGATCCGCATAGTTGGGGTGGGCAGCCCCGGGACTTCTCCCCGCAGTCCCGCCCCCGTCAAGAAGTTTGTTTGAAAGAAACCAACCAGGAAGTGCGGGTAGTGGGGCGGTGAGGCGGCCCTGGCCAGCTGCTCGGAGCTTTGGAGGAGCCTCGGGGTTCTTGGCCTCCGCCCTGCTCCTGCCCCAGCCTCCATTGCTCGGGCGGAGAAACCCACGCCCCCTCCCCAGCACCAGGAGGTGGCGGACCGCGACTAAGTCGGGGCGAAGGAGGTAGAGCGAGAGGACCCAAAGCAAGAGCCCCGCCCTGCGGGGCGCTCCGGGGTGGGCGCGGCGTTCTGGCCCTTCCTCCACACAGCCTCCCCTGGCTAGGTGCGAGTGTTCTGCCACGGCAGCGGCCCCGGCCCACCCAGCGCCCGGCCACTGGCCCCACACTGCCCCCTTCCTGCAGATCGCGCGACTTCAGGTAGAGTGGGGGGCGTCTCTCTCCACCTGTGCGTCCCCTACCCACCCTCTAACTGGGATCGGGTGCGGCCTGGGTTTCTACCCGCCCCTTTCGGCCTGGGGATGGGGGACTCTCCCGGCCTCGCCCCTCCCCCTCCAATCTGTCCCTGATATCCCCGCTCCCGACACTCACCCACTTTCTGAGACCGGGGCCTGAGAGCCGGTGTCCCCCGGCGGAGAGCTCCCAGCCGTTAGGCGGCCCCTTGTCCTCCGGCCAAGCGCCCCTGCCCCCAGTCCCCGCCTCAGAAGGTCGGGGTAGACTTGTAGGCAGCGGGAACTCCGCCACCACCTCCGTCCGCCGCCCTGCGGGGGCAAAGACTGGGGGTAACTCGCAAGTTTGCGCCGCACACTCCTCCGGCCGGGAACAATGGCGGGAGGGGGAGGGGACAGAAAACCGAACGCGGGGGACAGAGTCAGACCCCAGGGAGGCAGAAACTGCTTTCGCTCGGTTTCTCCCTTGCTCCGAAGCAGAAAGCTCCAGCCCGAGAGGCGGAGGCCGAGGAGGAAATAAGCAGGCTAGGAGGAGCGCGACCGCCAAGCTGGGGGAGAAGGGAAACCGAGTCAGAGGGAGGGGCGGCGAGGGGAGAGCGCGCGGGGGAGACAGAAGGGCCTGCGGGACGGCGTTTTGGGGAGCCGGGAGGCGACCCCCTGGGGTCCCGGCGGGCGCCGCGGGTGCCGCGGTGTCCTGGGGCGCCTGGCTAGCGCGCGCGGCGTCCCGGCCGCCCCCCTGCGGTCCGGGCGGCCGCAGGAGCCCCGTTGGGCTGCGCTGCGCAGGCGGCGGGCGGCGGGCGGCGGGAGAGGAAAGTCCGCGGCTCGGAAGCGGCGACAGGGAGCAGAACTTACGGGCCTCGCGCGTGCCGGTGCCAGGCTGCGCGGAGCTGGTGCCAGGCGGAGGCTCCGGGTTCGGGCGCCTCACATCGCGCCGAACGCGCGGGGACGGGCAGTGCAGGGCAGTGCAGGGCAGGGCCGGGCAGGGCAGGGCCGGCTGGACTGCGCGCGGCGCCCTGCGCGGCCGGGGCTTACCGAGTCTGGCGGCCCGAGCTGGTCCCTCCTCTCCGTTCCGCGCACAAGCCAATGGCGCGCCGTCCCCTCCCACGCGCCGGGCTGCCTCGCCCCCAGGGTGGCCGCCGGGGCGGGCAGGATGGGGGTTGGCGGGGAGACCGGGCTCCCGGCTCCCCCGCAAGGCTCTCCCGGGGACCGCCTGCAGGGGGCGCACGCGCGCCCCGGGAGAAAACCGGGGAGAAAACCGGGGAGGAAACCGGGCAGGGAGGCCCTGGGGTGGCCCGCGCCGCCAAGGAAGACTTTCCTGGCAAGTTCTGCAGACAGCGCCCTTTTCTTGGGACGATCAACGTAGATGGGCAAACCACACCATCTTAAACAGCCTTGCGGTGTCTCCCGGGCCAAGGCCGGTGTCTAAAATGGAAGGCACTGCTTTGACTGGTGGTGATACCCAAGTGTGTAATAACACAGTCACGGCAATAGTCACCGTTTGCTGCGCACCCGCTGGTGCCAGGCACCATATGCTACAGGAGGTACAAGTATTAACTCATTTGGTTCTCACAGTAGCCCACGAGGGCGCTGTGATTAGTCCCATTTTACAGGCGGTGGCGGTTCATGTTTGAGTTCACTTAGCCTTCAGGCGTCCAGCCTAGGCCCACCCTTCTCTCTCCCTTCTTGGTGTAACTTGACCAAACAACACGACCCCACGGTCACTACCGCCAGCTTCTTCAATACTCCACCCTAAAATCCGTCCTCAGAGATGCTGCTGCTGTCAATTCTGATGTCAGGGGACTAGGATCTTATCTGGGGCTCTGGGACACTTGTTGGGGCCACAGTTGTCAAACCTTTTGTCGCTACACATCCTATGGGGGCCGGAGGTGAGGATGGCGGTTGGGGGTCATGGAGGCTGTCCGGTGGCCTGTCAGCCTAAAATAACCAGGCTCCTACAGGCAAGCCCCACCCTCCAAACTCTGGGCTCCTTCAGCTCCTTATGGTGGGAAAATAATGTACTCTCTCCCACCCCAACCCCCAGTACCCTATGCTCTCCTTAGAGAAATGCCTGGATCTCTTACATCTGCTCCGATGGTCACAGTGGGCCAGGAAACCGGATGGGGGCTGGATGCGGGAAGAGGAAGGCGAGGCTGATGACATGCTCCATTTCGCAAGTAAATGGGACAGAAAGAGGTGAGTGGCTGCCCCAAGCATCTAGCTAGGTGGGCGTTCTGACTCCAGGTCTCAGTTCTCTCTGCATCAGCTCCTTAAGGGTTAAAAGAGCAGGCTCTGGAACCAGATCACCTAGGTTCAAATCCTGGCCCTGCCTCTTACTGACTGTGTGGCCTTGGACAAAGTAAGTCACTTACAACAACCAATAGTAGGAACCGCCTGTAGTTGCGGCTGTAGAGATTTAGAGTTAATAGCAGCTGCTCATGTTTATTGAGCATGGACTGTGTGCCAAGCAGGCTCCCACGGTCCTCACCAGAGCCGGGATTGGGCAGGAGAGGCTGTGCCCTTGGCAAGGCAGTAAACAGAACAGTCCTTGGCTCCTAGTGAGTGCTCAGTGACTGTTAGATGTCTGATTACTAAGGTAGGTAAACTCTGATGCCCCAGTGCCACCGACACTGCCCCCAGCCAAACACCTAGACAGTGAAAACCAATCATGAATGAGTGAATCAATCAATCAAAGTATGTGACTCTAGATTAGGATGATTTTTAAGGTGTGTTGGGTGGGGCCATCTGACTCAAGACTCTGTAGTAATTTCTGCACGTCAGGCTCAGCTCACTGCCTTCACAGAGCTGGGCCAAGCCAGGCTGATGAATCCATGAATCCATTTGTCACTCCCTCTTCTGCCTTTCTCGCACTCAGGGCTCTGGGTGGCTGAAGGGAGGGCCCCCAGCGTCACTCAAGAACAGTGTCCTCCCAGACATGGGGACACCTGCCGGTGCTCTGCTTGGTGTAACCCTAAAGACTAGAAGCAGGGTCTGTGCTTGTATTCCCAGAGAGCCTGATCATACATCAGCGATGATGGCAGGGTCGGCGGGGGGGGGGGGGGGGGGGGGGGGGGGGGGGGGGGGGGGGGGGGGGGGCGGGGGTTTGGGAGGGGAAGAGGGATAACACTGGGGGGGGGGGGTGGGGTGGGGGGGGGGGGGCTTTCTCACAATCACTGCAAGTTCTCCAACATGGAAGAGGCTGCCTTAGTTGTCATGAATGAGTGCCCCGTCACCAGCAGCATGCAAGCAGAATCCAGGCAAGGGTTGATGAGGACACCACAGGAAGAATTCCCGCCTTAGGTGGTATTTGGAGTGGATAACCTTTGCCCTCTGGGAGTCTGTATTCTCTCAGTCTCCCAAGCTTATCAGTGGGGAAGCTGGGGAGGCTGGGAGCTCAGGCTGCCAAGGCTGAGGGCAAGCCTGCCCCGCCATCCTTTGTGAAGGAGGCCATCCGGACTGTGCCTATCCCGTATGCCAGCCAAGGTGCTATGTGCTGAGACCCCAGGGGTGAACAGGACACTGTCCCTCTCCTTGGAGAGTTCACAGCCTCCTGGTAGATGACTGCAGATAGTCAATAGCAGCAACAGTAATCACTCAGGATAACAGGCAAAGTGTTTGGAGGGGGGCCAGGGGAGAAGCAGCAGACTCTATCCATAACCCCCTGCCTCCAGTCTCCCTAAAGCGCACATGAGAGGATCTTACTGTCTTCCTTCCTGCCTACTTTTTTTAAAGTGATGTGTCCAGTTCAGACACATTCCTTAGGCAGACATTCTGCCTTCAACTCTTCTGAGTTACCTGATCTTTACACTGGGCATCAAAAAACGCACCTCGCTGGGCTGCTGTGAGGATGAACGTTGACATTCACTGAGTGTGCCCCTAACGCCAGGCAGGAGTAGACACTCGGTGCAGTGCACGGTAACAATGAGGAGTCATCATTATTCACAGCGAGGGTGAGATACGTGGGCTGGGACCTTGGCTTTGCTCCTAAGTAGCCACGCGACCCTCTCCTGCTCAGATATAAAAATATCTGCCTTGCAGAACTTGTGAGAGTCAAGTCACGTGATTCCAGGAGCAAGGTTTGCAAACTGGAAATGCTGATTCCTATTACGATCATTACTAATGTGATTCTTGGTGAAGTGTTCCTCTCAAGGCCCCCAGGGACTGGGGACCGGAGAAGGGTGGGGATGGAGCCAGGAGGCAGCCAGTGGCTATTGCAGGGGTGGGAGTGTCACTCCCTCTAGACTCCCACAGGAGCCTGGGAGCAGCAGGGGCTCCATCTGTCCTGGTTACCCTCCACAGGCTGGGACGGCAACACCTCCTTGGTGAGCAGGCGTGAGTGAGCAGGTGTGCCTGTGTGTCTGTGTTTGTGCCCGTGCACGCGGGTGCAGGAGGGTGGGGTGGGCACAAGGATTACCAGTGTCTGTAGCCAGAAATCACTTATGGACGAAGAAGAATGAGGATGTAATTGGATTTCAAAGATGTTTGGAGTGAGCTACTGTTAGCACCCGGGACTGCAGGAGCGAGGCCTGCGGAGTGGGGGTTGGACCTCATCTTTGGGCCTGGGGGCAGGGGTGGGGGGATGGGAAGAGGTTTCAGCAGTGATGGGAGCGTTTGACATGGTGTTGTCAGAAGCCTGTTGTGGTTGAGCCCGGGGTGAACAGGACACTGTCCCTGTCCTTGGAGAGGTCACAGCCTCCTGGCGGATGACTCCAGATAGTCAATAGCAGCACAGTAACTGCTCAGGCTAACAGGCAAAGTGCTTGGAGCGGGGCCGGGGGAAAGCAGCAGACTCTATCCATAACCCCCTGCCTCCACTCTTCCTGAAGCAGATCTGGGTTCAAGTCCTGGTTATGGGACCATGAGCCAGTGATTTCACTTCTCCGGGCCTCAGTTTGCTCATCTGTAAAATGGAGCTAATGACAGGGCCTACCTCACAGGAGTTATTGGAAGTTTGGCACAGAAACTGCACGTGAAGCCTCAACACGGGGCAGGCAGGTCTTCAGTCATCAGTTGTTGCTGCTGGTGTTATGATGAGGCAGCCTGGGAGGAGTGGAGGGAGTAGCCTCAGGAGTGCTGGTGTATCTCAACGGGAAAGCAGAGCTCTGGTGTGAGAGCTGTCTAGCCAGGGTTCACGGAGGCTGCCACAGGAGCACCATTTTGGCCCAGAGAGGAGGAGCCTCCATCCCGTGTCACAAGGAGGAAAGCAGACAGCTGGGTTTTCACAACTGCTTCTGGTTCCCCTCCTGGCTTCCTCTCATTTCCTCCAAAGCTTCCTTGTCTGTAAACCTGCCTGGGGAGGAGAACTCTGTTACACACAGCGCTGGGGACTGGAAGGAGCAGCTGGGAGCTCAGGAACCCCCAGGCAGGCCTCCCAAACGCTTCTCGCCCCTATCCCTCCAGCTTGAGCACTGACCAGCCCTCCTCCCCCCACCCCATTCTCCTGCCGGCAGCTTCCCTCCTGTGTGACTCATCCCCACCACCTCTGTTGCTGCTCCAGGACCAGGAAATGTCAAGCAATTTCTTATCTGTGGGAGAGACAACTGATCAGGATGGGGGTGGAAGCAATGAGGCTCAGATCTCCCCAAAGAAAGAGTGTGACAGCTAGGGGACCAGAAGACCATGGCCAGCGCTTTCCTGCTTCCTGTCAGGGAGGGCTCAAGGAGGAAGGTGAGAGTGGGATTTAGCAACTAGACCCATCCGGGATTTAGGCTCAAGGTCCTAGTCCTCTTCTAACCAGCTCTGTGGCCTTAGGCAAGTTACTCAGCGTCTCTGAGCTTCGGCGGCGGCGTGTTCCTCTGTCAAATGGAAAGAGGAAAATCATGATACATAGGGTTCTTGGGGTATTAAGTGAGACAGTACATGTACCTGAGCTCAGGGCCTGCAGACAGTCAGCACTCAGTAAATGTTCATTGACTCAGTGAATGAATGGACACATGGAAATGGCAGTGAGCTGGGCGCACATGGCAGTCTGCAAGAAATCCACCCTCCGCTAGCTGGGAGAATTGGGGAGAT